TGATCTACATACAGTAAATGTTTATACATTCACTCGAGAAGGTCACCAGATAAATGTGAAAGCTCATCAGATAATAGATGAATAATTTTAAGTCACATTTTTATGTCATGTTGAAATGTTTTGGAATTTTTGCTCAAATCCTTCATGACGTGTTTTTAATGTAAAATCTTCCAAATGAACTGCGGCCATCTCAGTGTGGTTCATCCTGTTCGAGGAGGTTTTGATGAGACAGCGGTGGCAGACGGAGCTAATTGAGACAGGCTTGGTATGAGTACAGATCCTACAGAATGAGGACTGGCGTGTTCAGTTTGATTGTGCAGGGTGCAGATGGAGCTGGTTTTCACTGTTTCTCTGTACAGTGCTGTGCTGCAGTAGAATAAGTAGAGTCTGTCGGGATTTTACCCAGAATGCTTTGCTTTGTTTCTGGTGGATATTGTAGGTTTTACAGGCTTGCTGGTTCTTAACAGTCTGTTTCTCGAGTTTACTGTAACTGCAGACTAAATCCAGTTATCCCATTAGTGTGGGTGTTGCTTGGTGGATGAGGGGGTTCGTGGTTTAACAGGGATCAGAGCATCTGGTGGTTTTGGGCCGTCTGAGGACTGTAGCTATCTGTGAGGTGCTGTAACCACCTGTGGCCTCCAGATGTCACTGCAGAGTCACTGAGGTCAAAGGGTTTCAAAGCAGTCTTCGTGAACACATCTGACACAGTTTTATTTTAGTCTGTTTAAAATGTTTAGTTTGTGTGGGCCCTTTCATCAGTGAAGTAAAACCGAGCATCTTACTGTCCTCACTGTGTGTTGGATGTTTTTTTTTCTTTTGTTTTTTTAAGCCCCTACATTGCCTGTCACTTACTGCCTATCCCAAGCATGATTAGCTTTGAAAGTTTTGTTTGTTTGTTTTGCTTTTTTGTTTGTGGTTTGTTTGGTGTGTGTCACAAGTATGAGCCAATCAGCAATGACTTCTATGTAAACATTGCTGTGTTAAAGAGATGGCACACACTGTAGACCAGCTGCCAACCTTTCAGGGCAGGACAGGGCAGACACCGCAACACTTTCATGATTTTATTGCCAGCATGTGATTAGACCATAAATCACAGACCTCCTGACTCTCAGCTTGTGGACTCTTATGGAGCTGCTGTGACATCATGTCAGGCCTCGGCCAAGCCTGCATCATGACTGTTGACCGTGTGCATTTACTTATTTTATTGTTTCATTCATGTTTTGTTCATTTTGCTTTTATGTTTGATTTTCAGTTAAGAACTGGTGAAGTGACAGGAAGACTAATAAAATAATTTCAATGAATGCTTTGTTTGTTTGCTCGGTTTGTTTACCTTTATGGTTGGCCAAACAAACAAACAAACCGTTTCTGCTGTGTGTGCTACTGGGTGAGTTGTTGCATTCTGACACATCCTGGTGGTGGCAGAGGAGAACTGAATTAATCCCGTTTCAGCAGCTCGATGTCTCATTCTGTTTCTGCTTATTTGAAGTAGAGCCCTGTGTGGGACTGTTTTTTTGTTTTGTTTGTTGTTTAAAATCCCTGTTCTTCTGAATTTCTGACCATTACCACCCACTCCCGCTGACCGTCTGTGTCCAATCCTGCCCGCACCCACAGACTTATTGATATTCATAGCTTTCACATGACGTCAGAGCTACTAGGACTCACCCTCCTTGAGGGCAAAACAGTACTTCAGTCCTTTGCCTTCCAGCCATCCATCAAACGTCCGCATGTTTAACTTAAACAAAATGCCATTTAGTTTCTGTGCTATCAGATGCACTCATCAGCATTTATTTACAGCTGCCAGAAGGATGTAGAGCATGGCATGTGAGTACATCTGCTAGCCGTGCCTTACAGGCCAAATCCCACCAATACCTGCTTCTCCACAGCAACTCAGGCTGTCAGTGCAGCTCATTTAAACTGTCTTAATATTTAACTAAAATTGGAAAAATGCTCAACTATACTGTTAGAACATGATAATAATGTGACAAATTAATACTACCAGAACTTTTCTGACACTACACTGTAAATGTACGAGTCAACAAAATATAAGATTTACATGTGGTAGTTCGTTTAAGTGAACTATGTAGCACTTACCTTTGCTTTAACAATAAACAGTTTCTTGCTCTTCACCTCCTACACATTGCATTATTTACCTAGATCAGAAGTGCCTGTAGCTTTTGAAAGCTTTCGTCCTGGCAGCAGCAGAGGGTGAGGGATTCTCTACAAGATGCATGTAGATGTTATCGAACTGGAGCCTTTATGAGCGACATCGCCACTTTCAGGGATTTAAATAAAGCGTCTCTCCATGTCTTCATTTTTCTTCAATCAATTGATTATCCAGTTAATCTTGGGTTGAGACAGGTGAAAAAACAACACTTTTGTCCTGCAGTACTATCAACTGTCTTGCCCACTGGGGTAGTGAGTTGGTCACGTGAACCACATTATAAACACGCTATGATTAATGCATGTGTATGTGGCACTTTATGTCCAGCGCTTTACTTTCTTTATTTTATAACGATTTTAAAGCTTTTCCAAATATCCATCTTTCCACTCTTTTCTTTAGTTTTAGACTCTCCAATCTGAATTTTGTTACCAACAGCAGTTGCACTCTTCGTCCTGCTAACAATTTTGAGACCAACTGTTGCCCACGGCAACCTTAAAACCCCCCACTCCTTTTTTTTTTTTTGAATAAGGAAGTTTTATTTCATATTTTAACTGTCAGAAGTTCTGATTTCCTGAAGAGCTGTGAAAAGTTACAAACACAAAAACATGGCACTCTTATCATGCATGCATTCAACTTGCAATCACATGGCCATTAAATAGGGGTGGCAGCATGGACATAGTGTGTCTGAATGTTCATGAGCAGAAGAATTTTTATCATTCTTCCTTCAGTACATTTCATGAAGTTCTGTAAATAGAGATTTTATAAAAAATCCAACGTACCCCTTGTTTTTTTTTTGTTTTGGGTTTTTTGCAAAAAAAAAAAAGAACACTCCTGCGAGATTTGTGTTGGGTGGGATCCCAGTCCCAATGCAGGGCTCTAATTTAAAGCTTCAGTTTCAGTTTGTTTCTGTTATGATTTTGTTTTTATATTATTTCATGATTAATTATATCACTGACATCATCATCATCATCATCGTTATCATCGCCATGTCTATGTCTGCAGGGAGCAGGAGGAAGTGAAACCTCCCTCGTCCTCGTAAGTACCTCATCTCCCAGAGTGCACTCCCTTAGCCACGCCTCTTTTCCTCAATAAGCTATTTCTTGTGTCCCACGCTGCCCCTCCCACCCACTGATGTGCTTCCTGTCAGCTGACTGTGTGTATTACCTGGACAGGTGGAATCCATTCTCAGGGTTCAGTCAGTTGGTCAGTAACGTTGCCACCAACGTGTCCGAAGTTCTGCAGGTTAAAAGTCCAACAGACAACGAGCTGCAGATGTGAGTAAACCCAGAGGCTTACCTGAGCACAGGTGTTTGTGTCTCACCTGAGCCTCAGTTCAGGTAGACACCTGATGCTGTGTTTATTCATCATGTCGCAGTCTGACACTGAAGGTCCAAATCCAATCGTACATGCCTGGCTTCGCCTTTTTAATGAACCAAACAAGGACCAGCTCACTGGTCCTTTAGACTTCAGTACAAGTTTAGCATATGTCACCCTCTGACCTCTCCTCTCTCTAAAAACCTCCTCCTCACAGGAAGTTACATCAGCAGTTTGAGATGTATAAAGACCACATGAAGAAGCTGGGTGAGGAGTCTCCAGAGGCTCAGACAGCACGGGCGGAGTCTCCAACCTGCGGGATCTGTCGCAAGACCAAGTTTGCCGATGGCTGTGGCCGAGCATGCTGCTACTGCCAGAGTCGTTTCTGCGGCCGCTGTGGGGGGCGTGTCTCCTTGAGAGCCAATAAGGTTGGTCTATGACTGCATTTTTGCTGTGGACATTGCTGAATATCTGGGGTCATTTTCAGTTTAATTATTTTTTTCAGTGACAGTTTAACAACTCTAGATCGTTTGAAATGAAACGATTAAATGTCAGACTGTTAGCTTAGATTTGATTGACACAGGCTGGATACTGTGCATAAAAGCAGCAGCAATTCATAAATGGTAAATGAAATGTTTATACAGCCATGGTCTGGATGTGTTTGGTATTGTCCCTCGGGTAGCTCTGCTTTGATACGGTAAAACGGAAATGTTACTTAAGATCAGACTCATGGGATAGACAAAGTTTCAGCACCACTGTCACTGCTTTGAGTCATCTGCCCACTTATGTATAAATCAAGATTCCTACCATCTCTTCTTCCACAGAAAATGATCCCTATGAGTGCCTCCTACTCTAGACATGTTCTAGCTGGTGATTAAATATTTTTAAAGAATCTAAAAACAGAATTTAATACAAATTTGATAGGAGGTCAGCAGGTGCAGTGCAGGTGTTTTGTTTTAGGATCAGATTTTAATGCTTTGAATCTTCCTACCAAGCTATTCTCGACTCTGTGGCACCATTAAAAACCAGGCAGCTCAAGGCTAAAACCAAGCCTTGGTTTAATGACACCACTCGGGCTGTGAGGAGGGAGTGTTGTAGAGCTGAACGCAGATGGAAGAGGGACAAACTGCAGGTGTCTCTTCAAATCTTAAAGGACTGCTGGTGTCTCTATCAGGATACAGTCAAGGAGGCTAAAAGGGAATACTTTTAATACAAGACAATTTCCTCCAACAGTCATAATCCACGTGTGTTATTTAACTCCATCAACTTAGTTTTAAATGCTCCACAAAGTGGCTGTTTGGAGGCCTCTCATAAACTATCTAATGATTTTGTGTTGGGTTTTTTTTTTAGCTACACGGGCTCTCATCTCTGCCCCTGAATCTAACCCCTCTGTCTCGATCCCTTGCTCTGCTGTTTTTGACCAGTTTGAGCCTGTAACTCTTTCTTTTTTAGAGGATGTGGTTGGTCATCTAGGCCCTCTTTTTCTCCAAATGATCCTGTCCCTCGACAATTTTTTAAAAAGATTTTGCCTCGCACAGGCTGTTCTTACTATTATAAACAGCCGTTTATTGTGTGGTGTAGTCCCTGCTTATTTTAAGCAGGAAGTAGTACAACTCCTTCTTAAGAAACCCGGATTACTGTAATGCACTGTATTTCATAGTAAGTCTGTGTCTTCTCTTTCGTCTGCAGCTGGTTCAAAATGCTGCTGCACAACTTTTAACCCAGAATTCGCAAAAGAGAGCACATAACTCCCGTTCTGGCTTCACTCTATTGGCTGCCTGCCTTTAATCTAATGTGCTGATTTATTATTTTAATTTAATTCTAATTAGTATTTTATATTTTTTAAGTTATTCAATGTATTGTTTTTTTGGCATGTCAAGTGTACGGCACTTTGTTTTCAGCTGGGAGTTGTCTGAAAGTGCTATATAAATAAATTGCTTGCTTATAGAACAATAAAGTGTTGTTAAATTGTTTGCTGACAACAGGAAAAACTTAGCTCTGTGAACCTGACTGGCTCTCTGGCGGCTGGTCCCTCTGACTTCTCCCCTCCTGCTGCACATGAACCAGCTGACTGACCATATGACTCATTTTCTCATTCATGAAGCCAGAGTTCAGAGCAGACAGAAACATAAGAGCAGACATTGTAGCTATATCTTATTCAGTATTTGATTAAAATTACTTTTTTCTCCCCTCCTGTTTCTAC